TTTTTTTTTTAATTTATGCCAATTGGAATCTCTTTTTGCAGGTTGATTCCTTATCCCCGGTTTTTGTATACCTTCTTTTTTTTATTGAAATATTTACAGTTCATCAAATAAGGGTTAGACATTTGAACGACTTTTAAGGAAATTTACTAATGTAACAACTAGTTGAGTTATGCTTAGATTAACAATCAAATAAATTGGTTGGGATGGGGGGATTCTTAGTATCCCGTATTCTTTCATCAATTAAAGTCACAATTCACTATGAAGAATGAAAAAAATAGTTACATTCTTCATTTACTTAATTAATATCAACTTGAGAATCTTTCTACGATCTTCCTTAGTTTTTGGTTTTCTTCCCAATCAATATTATTTCTCATCCTAAAAATATTACATGAAAATCTTAACTAGTTATTCAACAGCTACAACTAGATTATCCAATGTTAATTAAATTTACAAATATAAGTTTAGTGTCCCAATCCTGAAATCATATTTCTACATAGCACAGCACATGGGTATCGATTATCATGCAAACTCTAGGTGCTCAGTGCCCTATGTCACATCCTTCACTTAACTTTGCTCAGTAAGTTATACACGAAAATAAATTGCTTTGGTAGCTTGAATTATTTAACAGAATCAGGCACAAACCTGACAAACCAAAGATTTGAAAGGACACAAACAAAGCCCAATTAAGAGTTCAAGTAACAAACTTTTTTTTTTATTACTGGAAGTCAGAGTCTCGCTCCCCTATACACAGGGACATCCGGACCCAGGAGAAATCAAGGGTTTTTGGTATTAAGCTCACCAGAAGGTTCGAACTTGAGACCTCTAAGTCAGTATGACCAAGAGACCACAAGTCCAAGCCAACTGGACTAGTTCAAGTAACAATTTATGCTCCTGAAGATGAAAACATAATACAATCTCACCATAACATGATAGTAATCTGTCATCAACGCTGTAAGACCAACAACAGAAGCTGTTCCCTCTGGCAAGGAGAGATATGCCTGGAAAGCAAAGGCATAACAAAATCAAAAGCAGCTCAAATTAAGGACCAAAGAAAAACATATTCCATAGCTTATCAATGACTCAAAGAAAACTCCATCATCTATATTAGAATGAAGAAAAGTAAAAGAATGAGATGTATCAAAACCCCAACTCTTTTATCCATCATATTAGAATGAAGAAAAAGCCACTTGAAGATAAACACATTTGCAATTGCAAGTCTCCAATAAAATTTATTCGTGATCAAATCCCAAAAACAAATGACCCCAGGATTATGGCCTTAGAGAACAAAGTACAAAAGGAAAGATGTGAGATAGACCAAGCCACCCCTAGCACCACTAAATAAACACCTCCAGAATTCGTCAAGCCAAAACAAACCCTCACAACCTATGAAGTACATTTTGGTTTGGGTAATACGCCCATGTTTGACATGTATTGGACAATCTAACATATCAACACTTGTTGGACTAAACAAGTAAAGAATCTGTGTAAATTTGCCAGCATATGTGTACTAAACAAACCTTGTTCGTATTGTAAAGAGCTTCTACCATCTCTATTGATCTATCATATATAGAAGAAGCCACCTGAAGAAGGTAAATAATAAAATAATACAAAAAGGAACATTTGATTTTTGAGATCTGTTGATGACAAAATACAAAATACTGAGGCGACTAGTTTAAATGCTGAAGAGGCATGCCTTCTCCCAGTCTTGGCCGAATTTCCTATAGCCTTCATAGAAACACTTGATTTCCTCCTTGCTCCATTTAGGTCCTAACTTATCAGACAATTTCTTCTTCTGTCAGAAGATTAACAAAAGACAACACAACAATCAGATTCACAGATATGAGATTGATCATCTTTGAAATGGAGATAACCAGAGGACAAAGGACACTGTGTTGGATGACTTTGAATGAAAAATTCACACAAACACACTCACACGCACAAAAGGGAAAGAAGGAACCTGCTTTTTTCATGAAGCATGATGTGATGTCTATATATGTATATATATGTGTGTGTGTGTTTTTCTTTTCTCTCTTTTGATATCTATGAGTGTCTGGTGAGCTTGCCCATACCTCGGCACAATTGTCCAATCCCAATACATTTGGTTGCTAAGAAAACTCTAATCACGGAGAATCATAAGTAGATGGCCACCATGGTTTAGAATACTTCCTTTAAGCCCTTTATTTTTCTATTGGATCTTATCGATCACTAGTCAACCTATAGTGATGTAATGTCGATAGATTGACATCTACACTGTTTATTATCCCAGAAAAAAAAATAGTAAATTACTAACAAATACTCGAAGGATGTTCTATTCTTCGCGGCATTCTGTCTCCAAACTTAATCTTATGGAGAGAAATAATATAAAATCACATTCACAGCTAAAATAACAACTAAGATCCAGTTAGAAAGCAACAAAAGCTCACAACCCAATACTATAAATTCCAGAACATAAATGAGACAGGACAACATTACTTGATTCTTGCAGCTCCTATAATTTTTCTGAGCCGAGGGGACATTTGTATGAAGTGGTCTCCCGTTCAGGCTTCTAGATTTTTTTTTAGGCGCCATTGAATTTTATCTGTAACCCACTAAAGCAATTGGTGAACAAGATTCGCAATGCATCTTCCATAAAAGAAAGAGAAAAAAAAAACGATAAACCAAGAAAATTAAAGACTGAACATGGTGGAATTACCTCGCCTATTCGTCGGCTAACACTCAAAACCACCATCTTTAACTGCGCGAAAATGGAGCATTGGTAATTTTCTTCCAGAAGATGGTGAAGGTTCGGCGGTTTTTTCAAATGTGGCTGAGAGAAGACCGCCGAATTTTGAATTGCTCTTTTGAAAGATCAAATAATAAATGCATGAAATGTAATCGTAAATCGTAAATGCAGGCACGAAACAGAAATAATCATAATAACGAAGGTTTATTAATTATTACGTCAGCAAATAAAATAAAATAAAACTTGAAAAATACAAGAAAAAATATGTATGGTATTTTGAAAAATGTAAATTACACTGTTTTTTCTAGTATAATAAATTAGAGGAGGGACATTTGAACCTCAATAGTGCGTGATCAATGCTGATGTTGGTTATAAATTACACTATTGGTTATTGATGATTGTTGTTGTATTTTCAAAGATTTGATATTTTAATACATTGAGTTCAAAGGAAATTGCTTAAATCCTACTAGTAATAACTCATCTTTATGTTGAGCACAATTGACCGCAAGGTGAAGGATCAAACTCAAACATAAATAGATACTTTATGTATTGAATTTACGAGTGTTTATTTTTATTAAATTAATACGTTATTATCTTAATTAATAAATGTATTTATTAGTTGATTTGATCCTTTAAATTAATATAATTTTATATTTATTTTACCATTTCTAAGATTAAAATTTCTTATAAACAAATGTTACAACATACGATTTTACTCATTCTAAATAATCTACATTTATATTATTGTTTACCAACTAATGACAAAAAGTAGAGGAACATAACTAAAATTTATTAAAATATATATCATCTAAATTGTTGGAAGTTTGAATCATCAGTTTAACTATCTATAAAAAATTAGAAGCAACAATAAAATAAAATAATTACCAAAAATACAAAGTGTCACAAAACAGACCTATAATACAAAATGTTGCTTATTAGATGGCAAAAAGTAGTTATTATTATTATTATTTAAATTAGTTTATCGTGAAAGCAAAGTCAAAATAAAAAATCGAATAAAAAAAAAGCGTGGTAACGCAAATACGGGATTGCAGCATGGGGAAATAAGTAAATTTGAAGAAAATATAGTGGCTAATTGAGATTTGCAGAAATTAGTGGGCACATTTGTAATTTCAACATTACCACTGGTGCACAATGCAATTACAGTTTCAATTTGGCGTCGAAGAGTGTGGTGGAAGTTTTCAGAATTTACACAATATAAAATGCTCTTCCACCGCGCCATTTCCCTTGCGCCAAATTAATCAAACACGAAAAACAGAAGCGATTTGCTTTTTGGTCTGGTGCAGCGAAGTTCACCAAATTCAAGTTCTTAATCTCATCCAGTCATGGATTTTCGTCATTCCCACCTTTTAGTGTATGGTTACACATCATTGTCTTTGTTCCGGTGAATTGGAAGCAAGACAATGGCGGATTCGCAATCAGAATCGAGTATCTTCAGTGTTCGGATCGTCTCCATCGATTACTACCTCGCGCCTCCAATTCCAGGCCTCGGAATATCTTACAGTAGCTTTCAAGGTAACTTTCACTACTTTTTCGTATCACGCATGGCTTGCTTAGTTCAATCACTGTCGTATCGACCATGGCTTTTCTTTGAGTTCCAGTCTTGGCAGTCAATGACAGGTTTAGGATTAATTATGCTAATGTTTTAATCTAAAGTCTATGTTAGAAGCGATAACGGGGGTAGATTCTATACCCTGTTTTTCTATGTTTGGTCTCACCCGTGCTAATAGTTGAAGTTGATTTAGGAGAGTGTATAACATGATCGTAGAATTTACTTGCGATATATATCATCCCCTTTATTTGTCTCGAGTACAAACCTAGCTTTGGGGATTTTCTTATGGATATTTCGTATCATTTAATTTGAAGGCGGGAAGGTGAACGAGGTTCCTGTATTGAGAATATATGGTCCGACTCCGGCTGGTCAGAAGACTTGCATCCACATTCATGGGGTAAGGCTTCAATGCACTTCTACAGTTCCACTGAGTTTTGAGTAGGAATTTGAGTACATTATTCAAATGGTAAAAGGGCGTAGAATGCAGGCTGCTTAGGATGAAATTGTTCTATTTATCGTCATTATTTTTCTTGATCAGTAACCAATTTACTAAGACGAATGAAAGTTAAAAAAGAGAACCATATAAAAAGGCCGAAAAAAGTGGGGTGTGTAAAGCTTACTATAAAAAGCATCAACTTTGGGTAATGAAAAATGAATGGTTTTTATAAATCAATTTTGAATTATGTCAGATTGGAAGGCTTAATTTGTAAGTAGTTTGTTTCAGGGAGGAAGCCTTGTTGAGCCTCCTTTCATCAGTAAAGTAACTGACTAAGAACATACTCACAACAACAAGTAAGAAAAAGGAGACCCTCTACCCCGACATTGATTATGATAAAAAGATTAGTTAACTGAATACAATTACCCACTCATGTCCACCATTGAAACCAAAATCACTTTTTTTTTAAATTTCACGAGATCAAATCTTGAAACTAGCAATTTACATGGCAGCAATCGTGAGACTATAATAAAGATGGTGCCTTCTTTCTTCCTAACTTGGTATTTTTTCCATTAGTATTTGATCCGAGATTTATCTTCTGCTCATGAAAGCCTATTGGGTAGAAGAGATGTTATGAGTGTCATTATTGTAAAGATGACTTTGCTGATGTTTCTGTTGTTCAAGATCCTTAAAGTTTTTGTTCTTGGTTCCTTGCATCTTGGAGGCTCTTTCTGGTAGTAGCTTTGTTGGTATTTTTGTCGTTTATCTCTTTTGCTCATTTGGGTTGTACCTCCCTTTTTTGGGGTTCTTTTTTCCCCATTTTCTTCTTACTATTACTTTTTTTTTTGTTTTTCTCGCTCTATTTGGGAGTTTATATCCTTTGAACATTTTTATTCCTTTTAACTAATCAACAAGAAGTTTGTATTTTGTTAAAAGGGTCGTTATTGTAAAGCTTCAAGAATTTTTTTTGTAATATATCTCATGGTCAGCATGAAATTTATTTAGCATTTACTCGACTTGAGTCATTTTTTCCCAATGCACTCAACTGTCATTTTGAAGGACATATATACAATTTTATAGACATATATGTATTTATGTTTTTAAAAGGATGTATCTTGTAGGTTTTACCCTATCTATATGTGCCGTGCTCAGAGATTTCATTGCAATTGCAATGCAAAGGTATGCACCTCATGAAGATTATTATAATTTTATTTTGATTATCAATCAATTAACTACGAAGCATATATTGAGCCTATTTAATGAACATGTAACTGTTATATTTCATATTATCTGTATTTACTTTACTTTCTAGATAAGATTTTAATCTGTCATGCTTTATTTAACTTGTTGCATAGCCGGCTCTCTCTCTCTTGGACTCTGAAACTAATCTAGGACTTGGCTTGTTTTTGACATAGGGTCTCAGTTTTTTGTTTTTTTGTTTTTTTTGGATTACTTAATGGTTTCTCCGGCATGCTATATTTACATTTTCTGATTTTTCACCTCCTTGAATCTTTGTTGCATCTAAGTGTTATCTTATGGTGCTACGATATGTTTATTTTGTGCAGGAGAAGCTTTTGCAAATGATGTATCTCTTGCACTTGAGAAAGCCTTGAAGGTATTCTTCACTCGGACAATCAGGAGATTATGCTTCATCTCACTTACGTGTTAATCCCACGTGTCCTTTCATTACTAACGACAATATTTTGCTTCCTTTGAGTTCTTAAGCTGAAAGGCAATTGTGGTTCAAAGAGACAGCACGTACATGGTTATAATCTTGTTCGAGCAAGGAAGCTTTATGGTTACCATTCATCAGAAGAGCTTTTTATAAAGATATATTTGTATCCATATGAAACTGAGTTTTGTTTGCATCCATGTTCTATATTGTCTTTGTTATATGCCTTCTTGCCCCCATATTTTATTAATGATCTGCAACATGTGATTGAATGCCTTGACAATAATTTAGATATTATCCACAAGATATCACCCGCGCTGCAAATCTTCTTCTGGTACAGTTTTCTGATGTTTCACTTTGCTGCCTTTCTTATTTATTTTCTTCTTGTTGATTTAGCTGCTAAACTGGATGGTGGAAATTTCAACGGCATCTGTTCCTCTGAAATAGATGATTTGTATACTGTATTATATGGTCAGTATATATGGAGAATTTGCAGTGAAAATATGATATAAATTACAAGCTATATCAGATCTATGCTATAGATGAGAAGAGGTTTGAGAATAGAGACTTTTGGTTTCTTTTTAAGCTCTCATTTATGAATTACTTGTTGTGACTTATTACAAAGTTGGTACTCATATAATTTTTGTTGAAACCTTGAGTTTGGTCCTATCACCATAAATATAACCTATTTTTTCAATACTACAATGTAGATGTTTTGCTTGTTTCGTTTGAAGGTATCTTGGAGAATCCGTGTTTGGTGACTGTATTTACTTCTTTTCTTTCCCCAGAATGGTGCAATTTTCGAGAAGAGTTTACAGCCTTATGAATCCCATATACCATTTGTCCTGCAGTTCCTCGTGAGTAGCTTTATGAGTTCCAAAATAATCATAAATGACATAGACATTCAGCTACTTTGTGATTAGTTGATAAGTGGATTTCATCTAGCTTCCTGATCTAGGTTATTTGTTTGTCTGTC